CTTGCATCCGTGATAACGACGAAACCGCGGCGCTTCGAGAGACTACAAGAACTCAACTCTTGGTGATGCGTTCTGTACAGCGCGCTTCAGGACCACTTCATTTTATTTATTCAAGACCATTCTATTGGGCGTGCGGATTTCGGCCGAGTGGCTTCATTCGCAGCGACCGAGTGAAACGGATCGGTCTCCGTCAGATACCAACATCGTGATGAAGCGCACGCACCCACGCACGCACGCACACATGCACCCCAGCCCACACGTGCAGTGCGCATCCGCGCGCACACACATACACGCACGCAAAACCCGGAAAACTGCAAATTCCCTGGATGGCTAGAAAATTTGCAGCTCATTATGGATTTTGCAAACGCCCTAGCAAGTTTGTAAGCTGCCTCGGTAGCTTACGAAATATTGAGGGCAAGAGAGAACCATCTTCCCATGGTACTTGAATGGCTATAACCATTAAGACATTCAAGGGACGGCACAATGGAGATGTGGCCAGCTGATAATTCTGAATTACATTGATATCTATGCATGTGAATAAATGCGGAAGATTACAAATTTGAGCAAACTAGTGAAAATAATGCACAGGAGAACATACTGTGATGCAATGATGCATGCCAAATTTATTTTGCCCGCTGCGCAGTAACTTTTCTCAGGATTTTAAATCGAGTCCAATGAACATTGAACTGACCCCAGGTAACGGCTTGAACCAGCATTGGGGAGCCTTCATTCCAGCCCTAGTTCGACATAGCGATCGCACTGTGCGTTTTGTAAGGACATAACAGAACGAACTCATGCATAGTAAATGCAACCAAAAATAGCTGCATCAATCGCAAACATTTGCCTCCACTCAGGCTATCTGCCAGGTACTAGAATAAAGACGTTACGGATATTTCATTCACATCAACGAACAGAACAAAGCTGCTCTTTAGCGAGGTGCCAGTGATGTTCCATAACTTTGCGGCGACGGGAATGGTCAGCCAAGTTTCCCTCAGACCAGTTGGATCAGGATATACAGCCCGTACTATGGCTCTCAAACGAAAATGGCCGCGAGTGAGATGCGTTGGGTTTCTCAATAGCCGCAGCTCCTCATGGGCTATTGTACTTACAAGCTTGCTTCAAAACTCATAAACTGGTTTCCATTGTGACTCACATCGGCAAGGAGAGAATTCACGCAAAATATTACAGTTCCTTCAGCGTTTGTAACTGTCCCATTGGTAACTGCACGTCATAACTGTGGCCCAAGTGCAATATTGATGTTTTCTGCGGCTGTGCAATATTGACGTTTTCTGCGGCTGTGCAATACTGGTGTTTTCTGCGGCTGTGCAATATTGGTGTTTTTTGTGGCTGTGCAATATGTGATTATAGACGGACTACACCCTTGATCTTCACGTAAGCCCCCAAATGGTAATAAAGGGTGCGCACCATGCAAGCCTCGATGCAGTAAACCAATCTTATGTCCCGACCTTTTGGTTTGTGTCGGTGTTGGCCAAAGTGAGTATTTTCAAAGGTGCAGAAGGATTCTTGTGGGTTCAAATGTGATTCAATTCGATGGCGCCATTCAAAGATACCACCGTTTTTTTATCAGATGAAGATGCGACATATTATAACATAAAACCTAGGTAGTTTATGCGTCGCATAAACCCGCATCAAATTGCATCGGGGATGGTCACACGTTAATCATCTAGATATTTCGCAAATTCCAAATGAGTTTACAAACTCCCAAGTGAGTTTGTAGATCTCTAGCCACCCAGGGAGTTTGAAAACTCCCTAGGCACAAACTACCGGATAAGCGAGGTAGTTTACAAATTCACTCTGTAGATTACAAACCCCCGTTTTTCATTCTGCCTGTAACGGAACTCGATTTGTTGCAGTTTTGAGTCTCGGTCCAACACTCCGCATTCTGCATCATGTGGATTGTATTCTGCATCATTAGGGTACGCTACAGATGGATGATCTTGGGCACCGTGGCCGTCTTAAAATAGCCGCTCGGCGCTTCGCTGAACTATGACGATACCATCCGAGAGCACGCCATAGCCACGAATACCGAAATGACTAATGCCCAGACTGTTGAGCCGATCAATCAAAGTGAACATTACTCGCCCAAATATACGTGTATTCCTGTAAAAATCAGAGACGCTTATGAATTTTAATCGATCATGCCAGATAATCCACAGGCATACTAACTAGACCCTGAAAAAATCCGTGGAGTGCTGTCCTCAGCCCTATCATAGCACACAACGATATTTTATACGCAAAGACACGCAATGTTTTAAGCAAGCATTGCCACCTTGGGCGATGGATATACCGGGGGATCCTGAACACGGAGAGTTCATTCGGTTACAGGATCTGGGGCTTGCTAGTGGGATCCATTTCCGGAATCCATGCGCGTCCGATTCTCACCTGGCCCATGCACGATTCAAAATAAGCCTCTGTCCACGCTTCGATTCCTTGTCCTAAAAGGTTCATTGGTGTGGAAAGCAAAACATATGACACTGAAAGACCTTGGCAAGCACTCATGACAAAAGTAGAGCGGCCACACTAGCTTAACCGGGGCCGTAAAAGTGGTTGGGCCCATCAAAAACTTATCCAACTTCACAGGTCCTAGAAGAGGAAAAAGCAGTGACCTCAAAGGCCAATTTCAAGTCCTAAGAAATATAAAACGAATGCACCGACAATTTTGCACTTTCGCTCTCTGCCGTAGCGCTACCATGTATGAGCCGGACAAAATGGTAAGAAGCAACGGGCTCTCACCACCCTTAGGGCTCATGCCACAGCCAATACTTCGCAGACAGATTGCAGCGTACAAAACAAACGACTGGCAACAACGATACGAGAAGTGTACAGCATCATCCAGACTTCATTCAATCATATTTTCAGTTGGTCCAATGCCCTGAAGCCACCTGAACCACCATCCCCGCCCGTCCCCGCGTCGGCACATGCTCTCCGTCGCATAAACAAATCCTCAAGTGACGAGTGGTCGGAGCCAAGGGACACACGCTGCAAGCCGCCTGTCACACGAACGTCAGGCAAATAAACATCGCCGGACGTGGGCAGCGGATGTGCAAATGTGCTGGTCAGCCGCTCTGTGAGCAGCGGACGCCACATCATCGTCCCGCTCTCACCGCCAAGAGTCACCTCGCCCGCCTCGCTGTTTGCTGTCACTTACTCCAGACCCCGCTGTCGGCACTGGCGTGTTGACCCTCCGGAATCCAAGCCCACACGGGTGCGGAAGCCATGCCTTGAACCCGGCCCATCATCACGTGCACGTGGGGACATGACGCGTACGGTGTTCTGACCCACTCCCGAACCTTTCGATGCGATTTCACAGCAATTCTTTGTGTAGGTGACCGAAAACATCGCCGAATGTGAAAATGTGAAATGAAACGACTGAATGTGAAAGAACTGCTTTCGGCTCTGTCCCACGTTTGAGGCGTTCCTCCGTTCCTGTCCGAGCGCATCGGGTGGGGGGGGGGGGGGGGGGGGGAGGGAGGGCGCCTTATCCGGCGGCCTGGCGGCTCCAGGGGCCGGGCCGACAGCTCGCCGGCCGGATCGGCCAGGCCCGCTCACTAACGGCGGACGGATCAACGCTCGCGGCCTGGAGCATGCCAAATCGATACGCAGCGACCGTCATCCGCCTTCCTCAACGAAAAAAGAGCGGACCCTCGAGCCATCACAGCTCGCTCTCGGCCGACGGCTGCGGCCCCCGCTGCCGCTCGGGCCGACCCAGCGCCTGTCCATCGCCTACCTTTCCTGTAGGCGTCGCTGGCGGCCGGCACCGTCAACACCGCCAGCGTGGCGGCCAGAAGCAGCGGGCCCGCCGCCATGGTCGCACCGCGTCCTTCACGACACGCCTGGCCTGTCGCCGGCCACCCACTCTAGATGACACTGCCGCGCCTGGACGGTAGTCTGTGCCGCAGCACCATGCCAGCCCGGCGCGTCCGCCACTGGCCTATCGATTTCGGCGCGGCCGACTGCGGGCGGCGGAGGCGGCGAGGCGCGCGCCGCCCCCGGCCGGCCGCCAACTGCCCCGCCCACTCGGCAGCGACGGCAGTCAGCTGAGCGGGGGACTCGGCGGCGGCGGAGGCGCTCGCCGCGGAGAGCGGGGCAGAGTATCACACAGCGATCAGCCGGGGGCAGAGAATGGTCGGTGGCTCGGGTTGTCGCTAGATGAAAACGATATGCTATTGATGAAATCGGTATCGCTATGCTTTTGCTTCACTGGGTGTCTCGGTGCCCCCGATTGCAGCCCTGAATTATTGCAGCAGCCTTGCGGTAACGCATCGCAAAAGTCGACTTGAAAATTATTGCACGCACCGCCATTTCCTCTTGAGAGGCGTACGTCATTGTGAATCATGCTGGGAGTAGGTAGAGAGAGGACAGAATTGCCAACCATGCTGGCACTAGGAAGAGAGACGAACGCCATCGTGAATCGTGCTGGGAACAGGTTGAGAGACAGCTATCACTGTGATTTAGGCTGGAACTAGGTAGAGAGACAGGCATCATCGTGAATCATGCTGAGACTAGGTAGGCGGGCAGACATTATTGTAAGTCATGTTGGGTTTACATAGATGGACAGACGCGATCGTGAATCATGCTGAGACCAGATGAAGAACGGACGTCTTGTGAACCATGCTGGGACTGGGCAGAGAGACGGACGTCACTGCGGTTCAGGCCGGGATTGGGTGGAGAGAGGAACATTATCGTGGATCGTGCTGAGACCATGTGCAGAGACGGACGTCATTGTGACTCAGACGGGGACTAGGCAAAGGCAACAAAGTTGTCTTTACCTAATCCCAGTAGGCAAACAAAGTCGACGAAGTTAGCAAATGATTCATATTCATATTCAGATCTATTTCCTCCAGACAGCGGACTCGTTTTATTGACCTGAGTGCCTGCTCACAGATCATGATCTGATGGTGATGACCAAGCAAAGCAACACCGGCACACGCGCAGGCGGACGTCGCTGAGAGAGCACCACTTCCATTATCTGGATTTTTTGCCGCTACTGAACTGAACCTCCTGTTGCCGTGCGCACCAAATCTACGCCCAACAAACGCTATCAACAGAGGTACAGCAGGCCACCGGCCTCTCACGTCAGGCGCAATGTAAACAGCCAACACCAGTGCTGCCTTGTAAGTTTGCAGCGCTGCTCGTCGCAAGGGTGTTATCACTGTAAGGCCCGTAACGTCGTCAGCGCTGCTTCCCAGTTTCGTGTTTTACTTGTATAATGTTCCAAGGATTATATTCTTGCCATGAACGTGTTAGTAAGCATGCAACTGAGCCATGTTCATGTCTGTCTCTATTTATGCCTGATAGCGGACTTTTAATAGACCTGAATAAACACACGATCACGATCACAATCCTGTCACGGTCGCCCTGTGCGCAAACCAATCAACAGTCAGCTGCTGGGAGCATGTCGATCTGAATGTGAACATAAATCTGTCGCCGATTTCGCGAAAGCTGCTGTGCACCCCTTTTGACGTTTTCCACGTTTGCAAACTGCTTCGTGTGCAGCGTTTGAAGTCCGTGCAGACAAGTAGGCTACGCGCTAGCGTTTGGTCGAACACTCGTATTGGACTATATACGGATGTGCTCGATAATAATATAATCTGGTCTGATATCTGGACCTACTGTTTGCAATAAACGAACTGCTTATCATATCATTAAGCGTAGTTAACCATAAGGAATCGCTTAAGTTTATAGACGCCACGTGCCTTATGGACAGACCATCCACAACTGTCTTCCACTCCCCAGACTGTTGGTGGGTACGTGAAGGTGCTCGCCCGTTACTGGGATCATCACAAACAACATGTATGAAACTGGACGAACAAAACGAAAACCGCGCTCGTAAAGATGTGAAAAAACAGGCAAGTTTGACGTCCATACTGACAACCTCAACATAGCCAACATAATAATCGTTAATGTTTTATTCAGTCCGCCGGTAAGTCCCGTACTGGTTTGTTCCATTTGGTTGAATATCAGGCCCGTACATCCCCGAACGTTCCCTAGCAGTGACCAGCACGACCCGCTGGGACAAAGCCCCACGCCATGATTTCTTTGAGTTCCAGACAGACCGCGGGATCAACCCAAGAGAAATGTGACCGAACAGCCGTATGAAGCTCTTGAAGCCCGTATATGTGTATCGGTCGAAATAAAACCACCAGCATCATACAAATGACAAGTTACGAACCGAGATCTATTTCCCCGGGGTGCTGCAACATTTTGGCACAGGCTCGCCTGCCGCACTCTAACCAACTTCACCGGAAGCCACTGATTGCCGCGCGCTGAACTAACAGAGGCACATTCATCAAGAGGCACCAGGACAAACAATAGGCACGAGCCGCACAACCGGGAATGTACCCTATTCTGGTCTCACCCGCGCGACACAACAGCTCAGACCGCATCAACACGCACCGACATCAGCCGCCGGCGGCGCCCGCGCGCGCCTTCTTGGCATTCGTCATCCCTACGCGCACTATCATCCCACCACCGAAACAAGCTCCTGTTTGTCACCACGTGGTCAAAGACCCAGGGACCGTATCGTGGTAACGTCTACATGCGTGGGCCATTTCATTAACAAGTCATTGAGCGGCAAACTGGGTTATAGAAGCGGTTTTTAATGATGAGTCTAGCGATACGCTATCACAATGACTGGCGGCAGGCAACGAAATTGAACATGGTTTAACAGAAAACAACCCACTCTGGAAGTCCACAGGAAAGCACAACACCTACTGTCTGGCGGACAAAAAGACGCGCCTGTCTGCTGACTGACTGGCAGCCCCTGTCGAACGTGACAACAGAGTCACTGAGACATACCGTCTACATCGGTTCCAAGACTCCGTAGACGCGCCCTGCGCGTCGCTGCGACTCGACGCCCAGGAATCAACCGAAAGCCTGGGCGGCGCAACACACTGCTGCCCGGGGAGAAAAACCGAAGACGAATAGGGGAGGAGCGAACTGCTGAAGCCACAGACCCGTTAGCGCCGTACAGAGGGCCATGCAGCTCATGCCGCCAGACGGGCCGGTGGACGTCCCTGCCGCCCAGCCGTCAACAGTCGCCGACGGCTGGCCTCTCGGCCTCTGGACGCTTGTACGACAATGACGTCACAAAAACGTGACTTATTGTCGCTCAAGATCATTGCTCAGTGTGAAGGTGGCTGACCGATCACTAATATCCAAGTGTCAGCAGAACAAGAGTATAGTGTATGCACGCTATCACGATTACCGCAAGGCCCCGCGTGTCAGAATAACGTATAATTAAGTGCGCAATAACTGAGTGCGCGAGGCGTACCTAACCCAGTCACAAATCGACTGGCAGGTCCAGCCATAAACGGTGTGAGGAAGCACAAACGTTGTATATATCACATTGAGCAGCCTGTACGCACCCCAGCATGCTGACTAAGAAAATGAACGTGATTTAACAGCTCTAGAAATCAGAGGTTGACCTTTTTTATCACATTCCCACAAATGGCAGCATAGGCCGTAACGCATCACTTGTCAGAAGCATGCAAAGGGCGTCATGAGGCGTGATTTACTTTCTCTATGGCGGAGCCTAGGCATGATGCTCCGACGCCATCTACGTTCACGGCGCGCAGCGTAGATTCCATACGCGGCCGCCAGGATGGCGCCCAGGCCGAGCACCAGCGGCAGGTAGGAGCCGACCCTTTCAGCCAGTAGAAGGGCACGAATCTTGAAGGGCATGGCCGTGGTCTTCTGGAAGGCAGTCCCTCTGACGGGCGCGCCGGAAATAGGTGGCCAGGTGGGGCCGGCGTGCGCGTGAACAGGCGCTCCTCCAGGCCGAGCATCCAGATGCGGTTGAGCAGCACGCACAGGTCGACGTCGGCCAGGCTGAAGGAGGCGCCGCACAGCCACCAGCTGGCCCGCTCTGGAGCACGGCGAGGAGCAGGGTCAGGTGACGCCGGTGCCACGTCAGCGCCCACATACCGTGGCTGGTCAGTACAGCAGACACGGCGGGCACCGGGCATACTCTCGCTGGTCGACACGCAGACACGGCAGGAATCGGACATACCGCGGCTGGTGAACACAGCAGACACGGCAGGCTTCGGACATACCGCGGCTGGTCAACACAGCAGACACGGCAGGCATCGGCATATCGCGGCTGGTCAGCACAGCAGACAGACAAGACAACAGGTCAGCAAGAGAAGCGGAGCTCCCACCTCTGTGTACGTGACAGATGGACGCCAGATGGGAGGAGCAGGGGGGGGGGGGAGGGAGGGGAGGGAGGGGGCGTCTAGGGGAAACAGTATGAGTAGGGCCACGTACTTCCCACCCCGGTGGTATGTGTGACCAGAGCGGGGAAAGGGAGGGAGGAGAGGGACGTCTCCATGCAGTGTGAGCAGCAGCAGAGCTCCGAACTCCGGTGTGTGTGTGTGACTAAGGGGCGGCGGGGAGCGAGGGGGGAGGGACGTCTCCGTAGACAGTGTGAGCAGCAGCGGAGCTCCCACCTCCGGGTGTGTGTGACCAGCTCATCCGGCGGCGCGCTGCAGAAAGGCGTCACGCCTCGCATGGCCTGCCGGTGCTTCTCCGGGTCCAGCATGCCGTCAGCAAGTTTCTTCATGGAGTCCACCTTGTTCTGCAGCACCTCGCGTGCCTCGGGCACCTCTTCCATGGCATGCAGTACGCGAGCGAGCACCAACGGGTTCTTGCCCTCCGCCGGACGGGTCTCTGGCGGCGACAAGCAGCCCGTCAGAGACGGCGGCCGGCGCCACAGGCCCAGCTGCTTCCGTCTGTCTGAGCTGGTCGTGTTGCCGGATGTCATACAGGATACCAGATACAATTCGTTCATGTACACGGCGCGCTCGAGAAGATGGCATTGGATTGCTGAGGGAACAAGTACGGTATTTGGATAACAGTCGGCAGGCAACTGAACTGACTTCTAACTGACAACGCCCACATACTGGAACTGTCATAGAACGAACTTACTGTTCACAATAGAGCGCAGCATCATCCGAGGAAGTCGAACTTTCTGGCGTAGCTCTTCATTGTGGAACGTGCCATAAGTGAAGACAGGAATGTCCAGCTTGAGAAATTCCTCGGTGAAGTTGGTCACTTTTCGGTATTCCTCAGAACTTTTGTCCAGGGGAAGCAAACGCGGAAATTTCCCTGAAATTTGCCACAACAGTCACCTAGATATGACTTCCTAAATAGGCTCCTAGCAGAGCCCTGGGTAGGAGCCTAATGAACTATTATTCAGCATCTTGGACAGTGCTATGACAACAATATCTGGCATAATAATTACAAACTTTACAACAATCTAATGAAATATCCCAGTTGACCATAACTTTTGCAAGCAGACTGGTACCTCTAATGGTTTCACTGTATTGAAAATTAAATCTCCATCATCCTATCTACACAAGACGATACACAATCTGTCCTATTCTCTTACGGCCGTGAATGTCTTCCCCCTGCACCCGCAGCTGCCCCCCCCCCCCCCCCCGCCCTCGTCGCCAGACCCACCGTCGCTGAAGTTATCCTCCAGGTACTCCATGATGAGCGTCGAGTCCGGGATGACCTTGACACCATCCTGCAGCGCGGGCACGGTACCCTTGGGGTTGATATGCAGGTACTCGGGTCGGTGCTGTTCGTTCGCCTGGATGTTCACCAGCTCTTCCTCAAACGCCAGTCCCTTCTCATGCAGCGTGAGGACCGCCTGTTGGCCATCAGCTAGTCATTACGCCAGCAGACTGCGGGTCTCGTCAGCACGCAAGAAGACAAAGGCTCTCGTCAGCACGTCAGCTGACGACGGCTCTAGTCAGTACGCCCGCAGATGGCGGCTCTCATTGGCACGTCAGAAGATGGTGGCTCTCGTCAACACGTCTGCTGATGGCGGTTTTCGTCAGCATGTCAGCAGACAACGGCTCTAGTCTGCTCTCATCAGCAGATGGCGGCTCTTGTCAGCACATCTGCAGGCAACTGCTCCCATCAGCACGTCAACTGACAGCGGCTCTTGTCAGCTGACAACAGCTCTAGTTAGCTGACAGCTGCTCTCATCTGCAGATCAGCTGATGACTACTCCCATCAGCATGTCAGCCAGTGGTGGCTCTCATCAGCACATCAGGACACTGCAGCTCTTCTCAGCATGTTAGCTGGCAGGGACTCTAATAATTTATTTTGATGTACTCATTTGATTTAAAGTCAATTTGTTACTTCCTTATAACATCAAACACTATTACATTGTATGACATGCATATCATATGTTATCAGGTTATCATCAACTTATTTTGACTTAAAAGGAACATCATAGCTTGCACAAATAGGTTCATTACCATCACCAGGTGACAAGTATGTATGTAATACACTGCACAATACAGTTGATCAGCAGGTTAATAATCTGCAATTTTAAGCCTGTCATGCTCTTGGAAACACCATCATGCACATGTGTATTTAATTTACAGAGATCTTAGGATACAGTTGATAAAAATATAACTTACAGAACTAGAAATCTGGAACACAATTTCTGGTTAACACAATACAAATGAAATCAGCTAAGCAAACAAAACAACGAAGCATGTTGCAAGAAGTTCATATACTATGGCATAAATCCACTTTAGGAAATAAATTCCTTTCCAGCACCTCAAACTGCAGAAGTTTGGGTGGACTTTGTCACCTACAAACAATACTGAACTCTCAATGTTGGGTCAATCATAATTTATCGCACACATAGATAAGTTGAACCTTTCTCTGATCTGATTGCAGGATGATGTCACACTAAATACCACCTGTTTGAGCTTATTCAAGTGCCCAAGCAATAGGAAATGTCAAGGCAGTGGAAATATACCTACTACATACCTACCCTTTGAGAGTAAAATGACATAGGGAAATGGTACAGCTTGAGGAACCATTTCCATTCCGATTCATTCTTGCCTCTCGAATCACAACCTATCCTGTGGAATACGCCCAGCTCCTGCCAGATCACCCGGAGCGGAGATCCCGCCGACTATGACCGCGGTCGGGAATCGGAAGAATTGAAATTGGAGGGAAGTGAATGGAAATGGATTGCAGAATTGCAGTGAAAGTTTTGATCAAGAATGTCGCCACAGCATAAAATTATGTACCTGCTCAAAGCCGACAATTTTTCAGCAAGTCATGGACACTTTCAGGATAGATTAACCAATTAAAACACTTATATGAGGGGTAGGATAGGCGTTTAACGCGATCATGCAGCAAAAAAGCTTAGATCGAACAGGAGTATTTGTGCTATTACGCTTTTTGACAAACATTTGGCGCCAGCAAAGACAAAACAAGCATTTTTGACATTTCGAGGTGTTGTATGATCAAACAAACACGGGAACAGCGTTGGAACGAGTGGTTCGGACGTGTGTAAGTAGTGTCTTTGCAAGGCTAATTATCCGGTGTGTGTGTTTGTTTCTCCTTCACTTCTTTGTGAGGTTCAGCCCTGGGTAATGCCTATTTAGGCTGTTACGCTGTGTACCAGCATAGACAGTTCGGATGCTGAAACCCAGCTGGATGTGCAGTTGGTACATTAAGATGCATGCACTGGAATGAAGACAGTGACACCAAATGGCATAATATACGAATAATTGGAACAGAAAACCTCAGATAATGTTACATTCATTCAGGTTGTTGATAACAGCCTTAAACCACTGATTTGGTGCCAGGCACTTGAAAGATTACCTTGCTTAGTGATGTTAAAAAGTATGTTGTGAACAATTACTTCTAACTCAAGTTACACTGTGCTCCAGTGCTCTTTCAAGCCACATAACTTTTAATTGAACTAAGGGTTCAGTTTTGCCATGGTATGCAACTGATAGCTTAAGATTTTAGCTGCCTTATTTGGAACAAATTGCAATAGAAGATATAACCTGACACCTTGATTCTGCTGTGAATGATGTTTCTGCATGCTTCTCTTTCCCATTTGTGCATGATATAATATTAGTTTGTGGCATGATGCATTACTCAACAATGTTGTCAATGGTGCATCTTAGGTGAACAACATGAGTGCATACAGTGTGTGCCATGTGGTATATATTTTTGCCTGATCGTACAGCTGTTGTACCTGTAAAATATACTGTGAACCAATATAAGATACATAAATTGATGATCATATGTTGATATGAGTCACAGCTAATGGAGTAAACTATGTATATATCACCTCAGATATGTGGCAATATGTATATACAATGTATGTTTATTTCTGTTATGGTATGTTACACCTTCTTGACATCTGTGGGCATTATGTTCATGTTTTCTACCCACAGGTTAAAGTTTTGTCAAGTTCTTCAACTCCATACAGAAGCTGACTGATATGGAGGTAAGTTTGTCCATCTTTACATTAATTTGACCATTGCTGAAATCAGATGTTTATTTGCTCTGTCACAGGGATGATCTGATATGAGTTTGCATATGTTATTCTGACCTATGTTAATTCAACCATATTATTCCTGAATATAGACTGCCAACATGAAGGTGGTTATCTCAGATACATCACCAAGTTAAAAGTCAGGAAGCCTAATGAGAGAACATCATAAAACATTGAGTCAAAATGCACAAGTGCAAAAGCAACACATGATATATGTAAGGACAGGGTGGTGCATATTTGGCTTGACATTACACTGTGATTACACACATTACACACACAAGTGACACTAATGAATTAAAGAAAATTGTTTGCAGGAAGGCTGGAGTGCAATATTGAGATAATCAACCAGGAGGCTCAGAATTGGTGTGAGGGATGCCTCAGAGTCACATTGATCAGAAAAAGCTGGCAGTAATGAAGTGAGCCAGTGTGTGAGAATCCCTGCCAACAGGCTGGTCAAAGATTACACAATCATTATAGTCACCAGAAACCTATACCATAAAGCATTAATCAAAGCATAGTGGAAATACAGGGTGGGTGGCAGGACCATGCTGGCAGAACCTGGCACTGATTGGCATTGTGCGAGAGGTATTGGTTTGAAGGTACCCTCTGTAAATGCCTTAAAACATAGGATGGTGGAAGTCCGTGATTGAGGAGAGGACAGCCTCCATACTGCTCAGGAGTGCAGATCAGCATTGTGTTTGCATGTGAGGTAATGCGTCAGTATCTTCGCCATATCTCACTGCAAGTGTGTAGGAATGCCTGCATTTGCATTGCCTATGTGTGCCTATGAGAGCGTGTGTCTGTCTGGGTGACTGTGGACGCAACCAGGAGCATGGCGTGGTGCCAGCGTGTCGCTGACCAGCCGGACTGACCGGCCACCCGACAGGAAGGCGATGGCGAGGTATTCGACATCACCGACTTCACGTCGGCCTCCGACTGGGAACGCTTCACTGGCGCGCTTGCCGAGCTGCTGCACGAGTGGAAGGCGCTGCGCCAGCCGCCGGCCGTCAGCCAGGCTCAGCTCCAGTTTGCCGGTACGTCCCGGGCACTCACGCCCGCCAGCCGCCGGCCGTCAGCCAGGCTCAGCTCCAGTTTGCCGGTACGTCCCGGGCACTCACGCCCGCCAGCCGCCGGCCGTCAGCCAGGCTCAGCTCCAGTTTGCCGGTACGTCCCGGGCACTCACGCCCGCCAGCCGCTGGCCGTCAGCCAGGCTCAGCTCCAGTCTGCCGGTACGTCCCGGGCACTCACGCCCGCCAGCCGCCGGCCGTCAGCCAGGCTCAGCTTCGTACCAGTCTGCCGGTACGTACCGGGCACTCACGCTCGCCTGCCGCCGGCCGTCAGCCAGGCTCAGCTCCAGTTTGCCGGTGCGTACTGGGCACTCACGCTCGCCTGCCGCCGGCCGTCAGCCAGGCTCAGCTCCAGTTGCCGGCACGTCCCGGGCACTCACGCCCGCCAGCCTCTGGACGTCAGCCAGGCTCAGCTCCAGTTTGACGGTATCCCGGGCACTCACGCCCGCCAGCCGCCGGCCGTCAGCCAGACTCAGCTCCAGTTTGCCGGTACGTCCCGGACACTCACGCCCGCCTGTCGTCGGCCGTTAACCAGGCTCAGCTCCAGTTTGCCGGTACGTCCCGGGCACTCGCGCCCGCCTGCTGGCCCGTCACGGATGATGCATCCCCACGTCATGCCAGAGACCGTATAACTCACCCGTCAGGCCATGTGAAGGGCGCATTTTAGAATGTGATGGTGAAGAAAGCAGCCGGCTGGGCTCAGTGGCTGGATGTGTTGCCATATTTCTGTTACACAGGGTGTGAAGTTGCCAGAGGCAACATCTGCGCCCCAGTGCTCTGAATATGATGACCATTCTCGCGCATGCGCGTTCCGCCGCTGCTCTGCCGTCGTGTGGACGCTCGCCGTGCCGGCAGCCGGTGCTACAGAAGTGTGCGTTGTGAGGCATGACCCGGCCACTCTCCCGTCGCCAGGCTGCCCTTTCACGGTGACGTACGTGGAGCCTGCGGGCGGGGCCGGCCAGCGGGAGCGTCCCGCCCCGCCCGACCAGGAGGAGCAGGAGCAGGAGCGTCCCCCGGCCGAGGAGCAGGAGCAGGAGCGGCTGCCGGCGGCGCTGGCCGAGCTGCTCTCGCCGGTGGCCGACTTCCAGGCGGTGCACCGGTGACCGAGGCATTCGGCGTGCGCCGCTTCGTCGCCTGCAGCCGGCCTCGGAGCCGGGCGTCGACAGCGAGAGCAAGGCGCGCATCATGCTCAGCTCGCTGCACGTGGCGCTTCGGGACGCCGGCTGGTGGGTGGCGACGCGCCAGTCACGCCGCGGCGTAGCCCGGCCCCGAGCGGCCGGCACTGTAGACGGCCCCGATGGCCGGCCGTAGCCCCGAGCGGTCGGCGTAGACCCGGCCAGTCGGTATTGTAGACCCCGGCCCGATCGGCCGGCCGACCTCTGGAATGTCCGGAGCGTGGTTATCTGCACGTCTTCACTATCGTGGAAAACCTGAGCTCGAGCTCCAGCACGGTCGGTATTGAATGTCCGACCAAGAGTTTAACTATTTCGCATGGATTGTTCTGTAATCGCCATTGTTAGTCTCGGAGGAAGGCGATTTTCAGTTACGTTTGGGGGACAACTGTGGGTCCGCCTTTGCCATATTATCTAGTCTTATGCCAACTATTGATTCATTGGGAGAGCGAAGCGCTAGCCACCAGTGCACATCAAGCGACAGTTAACGCTGAAATGTGAGCGAGACGTGACTCCTGTTGACTAGGCGCCTCTGGGATCTCTCCGGGCATTCTCTACTGACTTCACCCCTGATAAATCTGACGTGCTGTGTTCTTATGGGCCTTGTGAGCATCGAAACTTTTGAAAGGAGAACACCTCTCGCTTCTTTCAGGGACATTCCCATGTTCGTTCAAGTGCATCGCCTGTCAAAGCTGTACTTTTTGGGCGCGTGCGTCGGTGAGGGGACCCTGATTGAGTTCCAAACCATTCTGCTGAAACGAGCTTCCGTCTCATCTCTATTGCCTCTCAGGTGAGTCAGTTTGGCATGTTCTGTAAATACCTTGTCTCGGGTAGGTTAATTTGGCAATTCTGTATCCACCTTCTTCCCGTAAAGCCACTGAACATAACCTTGTGCTACGTGATGAACCAGTAATACTCTGAGCGCATTCGCATGTCCAAAAACACAAAATGTTTGCGTTACAACAGAAAGAACGCCAATGGGCTTTGAGAGGTCGGCCGGCCGCTGAGTCCTCGCCGGTCGGCCGCAGGCCTGCTGGAGATGTTCAAGCAGAAGCTGGCCAGCCGCTCGCTGCCACCCGTGTCGGTGGACGCTGCGGCTGCAGTACTCGACGAACGACTTCGGTCGACTGGCGTACGGTGGCGGCGCGTGCGACCCGGCCCGGCGGAGTCCGTGCTGCCCGAACCCGGCCACTCTGCGCCGGCTGCCGCTGGACGCCGCCGACGGTCTGGATCCACTGGCGTGAGTGCCTACCCTGACGGCCTGTGATCCG